ATTGAAGATTTTATTTCTAAGAGATATTCTATAGGATTTCGTTTTAAACAAAATGGAGCACACACTCCCTTTTTTTAAATTTTTCTCCCTGGGCTGGACTTATAAAATGAAAACGTGATGTATAAAAAGAAAAATAATTCACAAAAACGAAACTCTCTAGCAATGTTTAGAAAAAGTTTGCGTTTTCATTTTTTTCACTTCAAAAGAATAAAAATGGAACAAATCTGTTTTCATTGAACTAGGAGCAAAATAAAACGATCAATCAAAAATGCCAAAACACATGTTGGCCAAAATTGGCATAAAAGGTACATTTTTGTTACATTCCCTAGTGGTTTTGAAATCTTATTGTAGTTTTCTCTTGAAAAAGAGCTGGATTTTGGATTAGTAGTCGAGTCCATGCAATGGAATAAGTTGGATTACTTTTATACCCGCAGGAAATCCAAAGCATAAATACAGACATTTTAAATGCATCATTTTATCTATAAAGGTATTTGAATATTTTTACATAACTTCAATACCTTTTGTATTTCGATCTGACGACTGGATTGAAATTGCCTGTTTTATTGTTATTTACATGTTTTTGAGGAAACTCCGTTTTCGTTGTATAGTACACATTCGTAATTTGGCGAACTCTCTTGCATATGGGAAACATCGATATATTTTATGGCCGAAATAAAAAATTTATTGTTACTTTCTGTTATTTCTCTCAGTCAGTTCAATTTAGCACATATGAGACAAGTTCTTTAGAATAACGGAACTTATTATTTTGTATAATCAGATTTTCATGCCACGTCTGAAACACTCGTTTATCAAAAGGAAATCCAGTAAATGTAAAAGATTAATTTTTTTTTAATTAAATTGTTCATTTTTAAATGTGTGATTTTTGTCGAAAAATTGCAATTAAGCAATCAATCAAGCTAAGTTATGGGTCATCATTAAATTATCCAATGATAAAAATTAATGAATTTTTTGGAAGTTACTTTTTGACTATATGAGTATTAAAATTATTATTTACGGAAATATGATGAAAAATATGAGAAAAAAAGTTGGCTCGTTGCTAAAATATCGAGTAATTTTTCAAACAGTTTCTACTCTTCACCATAATTTGAGAATATAAAGAATTTGCCAAAAAATATATGCGTTTACATAAAATAAGTTGGTTAGTATAAGTTAATTTACGGCTAACAGCAATTACTTAGACTATTTTAAGTATATACTAAAAAAAATGAAGATTAACAACAAAAAAAAACATAGAAAGTTATTCAAGACGATTCTTCGATATTTTCTTTTATTTTGATCGAAAGTATATTTTGTGCTGTAATTAGTCAGAAAATTAACTCAAATTACTGAAGAAGAGCATAAACTTTAAACAATGATTAATAGTTCAAATTATTACTCTGATCGATGATTAGTACTGTAATTAATACTTAACATACTGAATAAGTAATTAGTGTTTGTTAATTAGTAACACAAATTATTGGTATCCATTAACTCACATTATTAATGAAAAATAGTTGTTAAATCAATGTAACATTTAATTTAGTATTTTATCCAAACTACACACGTAACGGAGAACATTTATGCAGATCATGTTGAAAAATATTTTGCCATAAATTACAAAAACATAAGATGAGACAACGGGGGCAGAATTTATGGAGTTAAATTTTATACACGCTGTTGCTTATATGAGCAAGAAATAATGAAATTGCACATCGAGAAGAACTTCTTTTACTAACATTTATAAGACTTTTTTGTTTTAGAGTATAATTTATACAAAAAAGGAGGAATAAAAATAACTTATTTGAAAAATATTTTTTACCGATTTTTCTCCGGATTCTAATTTTTACTACGAAGGAATATATGTTTGAATTATTCAGCCTTGCACACTTGCTCAGGGCCCGACTTAGCCTAATTGGGGCCAGGGGCAAAAACTTCTTTGGTGGGGGGGGGGGGCTCTGCTTCTTTGCCTCTGCTTCACTACTTTAGTAATGAAGGTATTTAATATGGTGGAATTTAAAGGTATTTAATTTTGAGATATTTAAATTTTTCACCTCATTATAGATAACAAGAAAATTGACTAGAACCTAAAATAGCAATAAAGCCCCTCCCCCTCCAATGGTCAGACGAAATATCGCTCAGTCTATTTTATTGATTTTCTGATAATTCTCTGTCCATGTTTTTGTAAATATATTGCATTTTGCAATATATAAAAATACAGGCTTTTGATTGGCCAAATTTGTCCATCGTCATTGCGAAAATTTATCTGAATTCCGCCTTAGAAAGCCATGGATTTACGAAATATATATTGTGTTCATACGATAGATTAATGAAGAAGATAACATAAAGCTGACGGATTTTACACTGCACTGATATTTTATTTAAAAAAAAGTTCATTAAGGAATGTAACGTAAAATAAACTTTCTATTCGATTTGGGGGCCCCCTCTAATGTGGGGGCTCGGGGCAACTGCCCCGTATGCCCCTGCCTAAGTCAGGCTCTGCACTTGCCGTTCTTTTAGCTTTCCAATAACTAGGGATTGGCTATTGCAGTTTTTCCCCATCGGGAACCGAACAGAGGTAGCAAAGGTGTCTTGAGTTTTTATTTTTAAAAAAAAATGAGTTGGTATGGTTGGTTGGTAGAGAGTATTGGTTATGGCCTTCAGGCGGGATGGAGTTTTTTCAAATTATTATAAGCATTTCGATTCCAAGTTACTTTCAGGATAGGAGAAAAGATTTAAAGATGCTTATTTTATCAGAACGAACAAGATATTTTTATTCACATATAAAAATTTATTTTGGTAATAGTTCTTTCAGCTCAAGGTAACAACCTAAAGTAGAGGTTGCATTTACACCATATGAAAACGCCAGACAAAATAGGCTATTTAAATGCGCCATTTTATACTATACAAGTTAAGTTTAAGCTAAATGTAAATATCTCTTCAAAAGAAAATTATCGATCTCTTGTGTCACCATTTGCTTTTACTTCTGCAGACTGTTTCACATTATTTATAAAAACTCTCACATGCTTTACAATGATTTATTTGAATAGCGAAATTTCTCTTATGCTGTTAGCAATTTTAAATATTCAATTGTTTTTATTCAAAACTACAGAGTAAAGCTGTGATGAATTATGGATTCTTGTTCTTCTTATAATTTAAAAAATTAATCATTTAATTTTTGAAAGAAAAACAAATTAGATTAGAGATAACTGATAATATCTTTTTCTTAACAGCTTGAGAACTGGCCTAACTATGGAAGTTGCAGTAAGGTTTCAGTTTGTATAGTGAGAGCTCAAAAACTTGTAGTCCGCGGAGACTCGTGTTTTTAGGAGTGGTATAGAGTTCAGATGATACAGCCCGAAACCAGGCTTGACACAGTCACTGTCTTATGTTTAAGTTTTCATTATACTTTTTAACTTTCAAACTACACAAACATATAAAAATCCGTTAAGTAAAAAAAAATTTAACTATTATGACAGAATTTTTAATATTAAAAATTAAGTAATATACTATTTAATCTCATAAATAAATTATCTGAATAATATATAAAGATGATGGTGGCCCAGTTAAGAGTTGGCTTTTGGAATGTCTTCTGACATAATGAAGAAAAACAAAATCCAGAATAGATGGAGAAACCTAGCGTCTGATCGAGCCAGGTGGAGACTTGTTGGGACGGCCCTGGCCTGAACTAGGCTGTCATGCTGATGGAATAATAATAATAATATATTTTGTTTGACATTTCCGTTCCCAAATTTTTATTTTTATGTTTCAGAATTTTGATCCTTATCTGACTATGACATCTCAAACTCAGATTTAGAGTCTTCTATATTTAATCCTTTTCTCGAATAGTTAATAAAATTTGTAAATCTCATTTGTTCATGCATAGTTGCCAAATTTTTAAGCTTTTAACGAGGGATTTTGCTCAACTGTTTTAAGTAGCAAAATACACTCTATAACAAAAAAAAAACGACGCACCAAGAAGCAATCATCCGATTGCTTTGAAATTTCGTATACATGAATGTTTTGAACAGATATGGCTGGAATGATGTCAACTGGGGACGTATAGTCTTTAGCGACGAATCCCGCTTCCAACTGTGTCCTGACGATCATCGAAGACGTGTTTGGAGACGCACAGGGCAGAGGGGGGATCCTGCCTTCACTATTGCACGCCACACCGGCCCTCAACAAGGCATTATGGTCTGGGGTGCCATTTCCTTTGACAGCCGGACCCCTTTGGTCGTCATTAGAGGTACACTTACTGCACAGCGGTACGTCGACGACATCCTAAGACCTGTTTTGCTACCGTTCCTTTTGCAGCGCCCTGGGCTGGTTTTTCAGCAGGACAATGCCAGACCACATACGGCACGTGTTGCTATGAACTGTCTGCAAGCTTGTCAAACTCTTCCTTGGTCTGCCAGATCACCAGATCTCTCTCCCATCGAGCATGTCTGGGATATGATGGGAAGGCGATTGCATCTGGCACGGAATGTTGATGACCTCGTTCGACAATTGGATCGAATTTGGCAGGAAATACCGCAAGAGACCATCCGGGAGCTTTATCGGTCTATGCCACGCCGTGTGGCAGCTTGTATCCAGGCTAGAGGCGGGTCAACACCTTATTGAGCTTGTTCCTGTAACTCTGCAATAAATTATTCAATTGTTCTGAAATTTTAATCATTTACTATTCTGTACATTGTCTTCTTATCCACCAATTTTCGTTTCAATCGGACAACTCCTTCTTGGTGCGTCGATTTTTTTGTTATAGAGTGTATATACATTTGATGCTTGGTGCAATAAATTTGTACTAAAATGCTTTTGGCCGCCTTAAAATGCAAATAATTTTATCTATCTCATTACCATGTAGCAATGCTTTTCAGTTTTTCAGAATTTAAAATATTTTTTGCTTACCATTATCCTTATTCTACTATTTATTTAAATATTGAAAAGGGGTAAAAAACACGCCCAAATTAATGGTGCAGTAACAAAATGATTTTTATTTTCAGGTGCCCTTGGCAAAATCGAGACCACTACGACTACATCTTCATGCTGCCAGTTATTTTAGTTTTGCTGGTAAGTTCTATAATACTCTTTTATAAAATAACAGGTAAGTTACAGGTGGTGACAAAAATCGGCGTAATAGTTTCGTTATTATTTTGCTTGTGGGAGGGATAACAATGCTTTAACTTATTTCAAACACAGCTGCTCACTTCAAAGAGGAAAACTTTTATCACGCTCTGCATTTTTTCAGCAAACTATAAATGATAAAAATAGTTTTATTTTTATCAGACTTAAAATAAAAAGGATATGGCGAAACACTTTTGAAAGACGAGTGAAGAAATTTCAAAGGTGAAAGAAGAATATTAATAAAAGAATGCTCTCAGCGCTTCTCGTTTTAGTTCTGACAAAAATAAAATTAATTTTTCCATTTCAACATTCATTTCACCTTCGTTTTTATGCATGAAAACGTTATATTTAAAGCTTTTGTTTCATTTTTTTATTTTTTATTTATCAGTTAATTCATATCAGAAAGCGGTCAAAATTTCGATTTTCAAAAAACTGGAGATAAGCGGCAGATTTTGATTTTGCGCCATTTAGAAAACAATTGATTCCAGAATTGATATCAAGCTTAATTTCTTGTTGAAATTAGTGTGGTCAAAATTCGAATTGGCGATAAAAGATTACAGCGGTCATGGAACGATTGAAACTGATATCATTATCCGACACAGCTCTTCTGTTAAAATTTAAGCACTCTAATTGGTAAGACAGTTTCAAATGACAAATTTTATTTTGAGACAAAATAACGATTAATTCTGCTAACATGTATGTGGTGTTTTGGAGAGGAATGACAGTTTTTTTCGATGATGGAAACATTTAATAAGAAGATGAATTATTTACATACATGATGATATTTTAAATTTTTCGAAACATTAAGTTGAAAAGTGTGGGCCGTCTGCCCCGATGATTTGAGCAAGAAAATGGGCCGTCAACCCCGGTCTGGGCTATGCAGTTCAAAAGATATGGGCCTGTACCTTGTTATCACAACCATAAGCACCGTCTGAGCTATGCAGTTGATTGTTCAACAACAAAACGAAAACTGAGTCTCTGAGTTAAAAAAAAAAAAAAAAAAAGGAGAGGCGGTGGTGCGGGGAAGTCGCGACGCTGGAATCATGGGGGCAGTGGGATCTCCTCCTCATCCTCCACATGTATTGTTTCCAAGCATGATGTTCTAATAGAGGTGCTCTAGACAGTCGGAAACCAGAGTAAATTTCGAGAGCATGATTCACAGACACGAAAGTGAATTAATCAAAACATAGTAAATTACGCGTGTTACTAATGTAGATTATATCTATAATGTAGATTATAACTTAGAAACGGTAAAATAAATTTTACATCATCGTAAGATTTATTTTACCGTAGAATCCATTTTCACCATAAAATATTACGCCTTAATTTTTACAGTAATACATTCAAGTGATTAATTCAAGTGATTTTACGGTAATTATTGCTGTAAAAATTACTATATATCTGCTTTTTTGTTCCGTAACATGTTCCTGTAAAAGTGGATTTTACGGTAAAAAGTACCCGCAACTTGAGTGCCGGTATTTTTTACCATAATTTGATCCCGAATTTTTTTCGTGTACGCCAGTGTGAGGCTCCATTTAGTCATACCCAAATTTTTGCAACCACATTTTCTTTTTACCTCTGATTGTCGGTTACCATGCATAAATAAACTTGTTGTGACATGTTTCACTGTAAAAATTAAATGAAATTTACATATTAAAGATTCGTTTTTATGTTCTTTATTTTTATAACTATACATTTTTTTGCGAATTCTCAATTAATTTTAAAAATTGATGGAAGTTTCATGTATGAGAAATTAAAGTTATTTATTGTTCCGAAATTTCTATATTATTTATTACGTCAAATTCATATCTAATGTACACTTTATTTTTTTAAGTTTAAATCAAGTTTACTATGCGTTAACTAAGTACCAAATTACTTAAAATATTTTTATTTCCATATCACCACGATTTATTTTTAAATTTTATTAATTTTAAACATCTTATTTAAAAATAAAATAATAAGAATTCGGCTAATCTATTATGGATGGCCAACCACAGTGAGGTACGAGGAAGTTTTATTAATAGTACTTGCATACAAATTTTTTAAAAAAAATTAAAATTAATAATGAAATCTTCGTGTACTTCTGAATAATTTATCCATCGATATTAAGAGACATTAAAATATATAATTGAAATTTAAGAAAAATATAGTTTTTTTCTTATCATAGGTGATGATATATCTTGTTGTAAGCTAACTTTTTGCTTATTTGGCTCAATTTTGTAGGAGAAAAAAATGAACAGATTTCACATTATTGCAAGAACCAGCTACCAAAGTGAATTATAATACATTTAAAAATTTAATATCTGTTTTTCAGGATTTTCAAGATAATAAAAAAAGCTGATCTTTTCAGAAATTCTCTTTCAATTTTTCTGTAAAACGTTAATTGTTACCTACCTGAAATCAGAATCAAAATTATTGACCGACAAAATCATGCTACATACAGTGAAAAGCAATTTCAAATGGAAGTGAACCAAATAATATGGAATTTTTAAAGTTTTTACAGACAAGTAGTTTTCTAAACACTTATAATAGGATTTTATTTTTTACCTTTATGCTTTTTAGTACTTAGTAAAAGTAAAAAGTGACACGTTTATTTTTTTTATTTCATAAAATGATTGATCTCTTCTGTGTTAACTAATAGTTTATTTAACTAAACTATAATAAGCTAACCTTATACTAAATTCAAAAATAAAATGTATTTAATGAACGATATGATTAAAAATTAAAACTAATGATTTTATATTTGGTAGAAAGTTGTTCGATAAAATAAGTATGCTTATGCTCGTTTGTTTTCTTTCAGATAAACATATATTTCCTGGGAAGAATCATGTGGGTTCTCATAACAAAACTTAGAGCTGCCAATACCGTAGAGTCGAGGCAATACAGGTTTGACTTAACTACGATCATTTATAAAATAAATGAGAATAATTAAAATTACAACCTTGTCTCAAAAAATAATTCTTTTCTTTCCATCATAAATATTTTTTTAAAAAAAAGAAAGAAAGAACATTATCAATTAGAATAAAATATTTCAATATTTTCAAAAATATATGAAGTTCAAAAACTCTTGGGCATGGGCCCAACGTCCTACCAACCAGACTATCCCTTCCTTTCTTTCAAGTCTAAAATAAATAATTAAAAAACCATTTTAATTTATAGTTTCTAATAAAATAATAATCATAAAAAACAAACCTGAAGAACTTTTTTTCTTACCTGATTTAGAATTTCATTGACATAAAAAATTATTGAAATTATATTTTATATTATATTAAAAATTATTATTGTTTATTTCTTTCTTTTAAACCAATGAAATTTATAATCAAGTGTATCTCTCCGTTTCAGTTTCTTGTGATTATTTATTTAACATCTTTTCTCGTTTTAAAACTATATTTTTCAAATGGTGCTTCAGAAAACTTCGTTTGCCAATTTTAAATATTATATGCACGTCTTATCCAATAATTTTACTCAAAGATGAAAAGTATGAATTGTCGATGCATTTATGCATGTAATATAAAACATCTCATAAGATTCTTTCTAAAGTAAATCATAGCTTAAAATAGATTTCCCTTATTAATTTTAAGATGTTAAGTCATTCTTGCACAAAGAGCCATAAATATTCGATATTCTAATTAGAAGATTATTTTCTAAAGTTAATGGGTGATAATTCTCAAAAATATACTCAGTAAGAAAATCCTAAAAATTCTAAATGGTGTCATAATTTTTAAACAAATAAAGACATCTAAATTTTCCCTTTTGAATGAGGTTCAATTACGTAAAGAAAAATCAGGCAGCCAATTCTCTTTCAGAATCCCTAAATAAATTCAAGGACAGCCCAAATTTGTGTGGCTTTTTAATATTTGCATGACTAGTTATCTCTGCGTTCAATCAAGCATCCCACTTGTGGGAAACCATCAAAGTAATGGAAAAATTCAACATAGCTGTGAAATAAAGTTAATCTAAAATAATAGAGAGTCTATTTATTTAAAATAGATCAATTCTTTTGTGTAAATTCTACCCATTGAAGACATTTTATTAGAGGAATCCATAACTATTTTGGTCTCATTAAGAATGACACTAGATACAATTTTTTTAATTATAGCGAGCCTGCTTTCTAATCAATTGCAATACAATTTTCCACTCAAAGAATGATGCCTTACATGATTTCTAAATTGAAATGAACCGTTTCAATGGCTTCTTCCAGTTTCAACACTTGTGTACATTGCTTGACATTTACATATTTCGCCACTTTTGACCTATATCTGTGACGTAATCAGAGAACAAAGAGTGTTAAAATCTCAAAATGGTTGAAAATAATTTCTAAAATTTTTGATAAAAATGTCTTCTATTGAATCAATTGACTTTCCGAAAAGCAATTTTCTGTAAATTCCTTCAAAATTTAGCTTTCGTTGTGTCCTGTTGTTGACTAAGATGGATTTTATCAGCTGCTTACACAACTTTTCTTTCCTTATTCAATGAATGACCACAGATTTTCTATGGAATTCAAGATAGAAAAATCTAGATTTTTTTTGCATTTTTAACTCAAACTACTTCTTTATCCGTCTATATGACAAATCTAGAGTGTGTTTTGGTGCTCAATAGAAATTTGACAGCTTTTTAAAAATGCGAAACTTCTCGGTGAACTCACATACGTTTAAAAAAATTGACATCTCTTGAATGTGCGCGTTTGAAAAAAAACGGAAACAACTCAGGATGCGGGTTTTAAAAAAAAAACGTACATAGCTATTTTAAAAAAATTGCTATAGCATTTTATTCCATTTCTTATACTACAGTTATGGCAACTGTATCTTAAAAAAATTATAAGAGAATCCAAATAAATTTGAAAATCTTAAGTCTTTATTCGATAGACTTCCAAAGTCTATAGTACTTCTTAAATATTTTTCCGAGAGCAAGATTTTTACTAAATTCATAATAGGAATGACAATGTCAAAACAAATAAATAATAAAGCGAATTTTCATTGCAAATTGATTTATTACGCAGCTTTTTTATAAGCTGGTGTGGAAAGTTTTGATACATTGATTAACATCGAAAAAGCGCATTTAAGCTATAACTGTTTTATCAATTATCTATTTCAAGCTATGCACTTAAATACGTATTTTTCTTTAATGCCAAAATAAAATATTCACCCATAACACGAAACCGCAATATGTTGGATGCAGCATAAGGTAAAGGGGGAAAAAGAAGCAAAATACTTCAATATGTATACAATAAACAAAAAGCAATTATATTTAGAACATGGTGTATATGTGGCAATTTGTAGAAAGTAAAAAAGATTTTTTGTGTGCATAAATTAACTTTTTATCTTTGCTACTCTTTTTTTTAAAAAAAACTATGCATTTTTACAAATAAAATTATCGAGAAAAATTTTATTCTAGAATTTATAGAAGATTATTTTTCAGCGCCTAAATTTTTATGTAGAACTGCACACATACAATAAATTAATTTTTTAAGAAACCTAATTTTTTTAATTTAGTTTTTCAGTTTAGTGAAATTCAAGTTAGGAAAAACATTTTAGGTAATTTAATTTTTAACAAATTTCAAATAGTTTGTTTTAGTACGTAATCTTTAATTCAAAATTAAAATCATAAATATTTTGTGGCAAAACCAATTCTATCGTTATACAAAATAAGATCTATATTTAATAGAAATTTAATTTGTCGATCGTAACTCTACAAAAGAATTTTGACTGAAGTACAGAAAAAAAAATCTTGAAAAATTGGGAGTACAAATTAGTTCGGTCCGTTTTCAAAAAATGGCTCTGGCTGTTATGAATGTTTTATAGTGACAGCTGGTTTCGGTGGTTTCAGAGAGGTTAGACATCTATCAATAATATTCAGTTTATGTCGCTTTGAGTTTCATACAAAAACTCTGTTTTTTACTTTGTTGAATATGGCAAATTTGTGGTAACAAAACAGTATTTGCAGGAGGCTTTATGTTCCTGCTTTAAATGGAAGAAAAGTGCAGCTGAAGCGCATCGAATGCTTGTAGAAGTTTATGGTGATAATGTTCCAACTGATAAATCATGTAGGGAATGGTTCGACGTTTCAAGAATGGTGAATGAAGAATGGTGTTGTACACTATGAGCTGCTACAACCTGGCGATTCCATGACAGGTGATCGGTATAGGCTACAATTGACTCGTTTGAGCCGTGCATTACGAAAAAAACAGCCGGAATACGAGCAAAGACATGACAAACATATTCTTCTGCATGACAACGGTCGGCCTCATGTCGCAAAAAATTATTTGGAAACACTCAAGTGGGATATTTTACCGCACCAGCTGTATTCACCGGACATTGCCCCTTCTGATTACTGGTTGTTCCAACGGATGCAGCACGATTTAGCAGGTCACCAGTTCACTTCTTTCGCAGAAATTGAATATTGGCTCCTAACTTGGATCGCCTCAAAAGACGAGACACTTTTTTGAGATGGAATTGGAAATTTACCTGAGAGGTGGGAAAAAGTAGTAGAAAAGTATTCAATTTGTTCTGAAATAAACGCATTTTTGAACACAAAAAATGGTCTGAACTAATTTGTATCCCCAATATATCCCTTTTATTATTTAATTTTTTACAATATAGAAAAAAAAGCAGTAGCTGGAAAAAATTGTGTCCAACACCCGAAGTCCAATACAAAAAAATTGTCTTATTATTTATAATGCATGTTTTTTAATTAACCTTTCTTCAATTCTTTATTTTTTGTTCCTATTTATTATAACCATTATTTGTACTAATCTGTTTCGTAACTTTCTTTTTCATTCTTGAGTTTTCTTTTCTATTATTTTATTATTTAGGAAAAGACCTATGTCGTCTAATTATCATATAACGTAAGTATCTGCGAACTACTTGAATAAAATTATTAACTATTTCATAAAAAAAACTGTGATATATATACTTTTATTAAATTTAATGTCCTAAAATACATTACTGGGGGTCTAATTTCTTGTAAGTAATAAAATAAAAGTTAGTTGATTAAATGTATACTTTAAATGTATTCCGACAAAAATTGAATCCAAATTTTGAAAAAAAATCATACATTTTAAGCTGAAATAGAATTACCGTTAACAGCAGTGGTGTAGTTTTAATATAAATTCAAGGGGGGGGGAGAATATATATAT